GGCGCGGCTTGGATCAGGACGAATCCATCTTCCTTGGCTTGTTAGCGAGGGTGAGTTGTGTTGCGTGTGAAACAGTTGGGAAGGATAAGCCGTCGGTGTTGGTTGTTGGTTCAGGGGACCATTGTCTCAATCCGATTTCCAACTCGGACACGCAGGACATGAATTGCTTTGGCGAGTTGTTGCATGAGCATGCAAGTTGGGGGGAGATGTCTCGGAATAGCCTGGCCTCGATGCTGTTAAGTGGTCCTCGGGTGTCAGCTTGTAAGGTTGACTCCATTGACTGGGCCCAGCATATCCGGTCGGGACATTGGCCCCCGCATAGACGGTGCAAGTATTGCATTATGGCTTCGGCTCAGCAGCGGGCGCACCGTCGTCAGCATTCTCCAGCTTCGTTTTGTCTCTGCCTTGATGTGGTAGGACCCTTCGCGCCTGTGGCAGATGATATCTCGCACAAGCGTCGGTATGCACTAGTGGGTGCCTTAGTGGTCCCAGTCGATGCGCGGGGTAGGCCAGTCTTGGGTGAAGACCAAGAGCAGGCTCCGGCTGCGGATGATGATAAGGATGCTGGCGCACCGGATGTTGATCAAGACTTGGAGGATCTTCGGAAAGACATTGATGAGTGGTTCGGTGTGCCTGGGGATGGTGTTTCCGCGATTCAAGTGAATTCTGAGATCCAGCTAGATGGTGAAAGATTGGATGCTCCCGCCGGTGAAAGTCTGCAGGACGCGCAAGGTCAGCAGACATTTGATCTTGAGAAGGAAGCGGCGGGCATGGCGTGGAGAGAGGTCGTGTTTGTGGAGCTGTTGGATACCAAGACACCGAAAAGCGTGTGTTTGGCGGTAGGCCGTATTCATGCTCAACTTGTGGAGCTTGGGTTTCCTTTAGTCCGCATTCATGCTGACGCTGGCACGGAGTTCGCTGATGATCGTCTGAAGGAGTATGCCTCATCTCGTGGTATCCTCCTTACGCTCGCCCCTCCCACCGAGCATGACAGCAACGGTCGAATCGAAAATGTTATCAAAAGACTCAAGGCCCAAGTACGGACCTACCTGCAGTTGCTTGATAAGGATGCATCTAAATGGGCTCTGGCCTTTCGGTCTGCGGCTGCCAC